TCCTGAGACGGAGCTAAGGGCGGGGTCTCAGTTTTGGGGGACGAGCCTGATGGGGCGTAGCAGCAAGTAGCACTTGCACTCTCAAGGGAGGCGCTTGGTGGTGATGGACATGAAGTGAAGAGGGAAAGCTCTCTGACCAAGCAGAGAATTGCCTGTTCCCTTGGCAGTATACCTAAGGACTGATCCCTGAATTGGTGTCAGTAGTGCTCTTGTGCTGAACCGTCTGGAATGCCAGAGGATCTGGGTGTCTGCTGACCTATTCTCCCACATGGTGCCCTCCCTCCCCGCCTGTCTTTCTTCCCCATATTTGAAGCACACCCATGTTTTTGTTTGCTTGTGTTGTGCTGATGGATCCGCTACTGTTGAAACTCCCAGGGTTGGGTTGAACGAAAGATTTCCCCCTAGCTGAGATATTTCTTCTGATAACCTGCTAGGTGAGATACGCCCGCCCACCTAAGCCCCACCTTGGGGTGCAGTGAGTGGAGGCATTCCAGCCGAGGTTCCAAAAGAGACCATGAGCCAGTCAACATAACGGCACTTATTTATTTTACTGTATTTTGTAAAATTTGTACGCCACTTAATTGCAAGGGGAAAAACCCTTGAAGAGGTTTGCCAAAAGAATGAACAGTAAAACTATCAATAAAAACTGCTATTTGAAACATTCAAAAAGTAATTAAAATTCACAATGAGCCTCGTTAAAACACCTGTCAACGTTCTGCGTATCTGAGTAGGCTTGCCTGACCAAAAGCTCTTTCAGCATTCCTCACCTTCCCTTGCCTTTTTTTGGTTTTAGAATTGCCCCCCACCCCACTCTTCCTCCATGATTGATTCAGATCAGTTTGTTAAACATGGATGCCTCTGGGAAGCTCCAGGGCCAACCGGAAGGTGGGCGGAGAGACAGGGGACTCTTTTGTGTTCGGGCCCAGAGTCAGCAGAGGCCCCAAAACCTGCACTTTATTTTTAATTATTTTAAAAAGCAAGTTTCTAGTCCTCATAGAACAAAAGTTATGAAGCAAAATTTTCAGGTGCCGTTTGAAGCGATTGCTTTGTGAGGAAGGAGCCCGCTGCTGTGTTTTTAGACAATGCGTAAACTGACAGATAAAACTGATGCAGGGAATTGGACTAGATGACCCAGATCCCTTCCAATTGTAAAATTCTATGATTCTGTCGAGAAAGATCAGTCTTACACACGCACCAGGAAGACCTCAAAGCAGCTTCAAAATGAACCAGGAAGTCCAGATGATGGAGAAAGGGCATAATGGTTTGTTTGGGGTCTTGCTTGGTGAGTCTGTCTCTTTCTCTAGATTCAGACAGTGGAGAAGGGATTGCCTAGTTTATTTTGAAGCTGGGTTTTTTTGGGGGGGGGGTTAATCTTCCCTGAAAATGAAATTGCGGCCTGGAGAACAGAATTCCTGTGACTTGAGCAAAATTGTGTCCACCCAAAACCTAAAGGCAGGAGCAAAGACAGGCAGTCTTGCTGTTTCGAATTCAGGTTTGATTTCATTCAGATTTTCCATTCATATATGCATGTTTATTTCTTTTCTACCAACATATGCATTTTATGCACGCCTTCCCCTAATATAGGCATCTTGCACACATTATTTGCTTGGAGAACTAAATCCGAGGATTTGGGGAAGTGTGAATTTCAAAGGATAGCCGAGTTTTGGTTTACATTGCATTTCGGGAAGTGCAGATTAGGTGGGTTCCCCCTTAAAATATGAACCAACCCAAATCTCTCTCCCTCTTCCCCACTCTGTCTTCAGAAGCAGTAGGGTGTTTGGAAACTGTCCATCATCACAATTCTATTTAGAACTTAAGAGTGTTTAATCAGATGAACACTTGCGTCCTGATTGTGCGTATGTTTTCTTAGGAGCAAGTGTATACAAGATTGATGTCAAACAGGAAAAGTTGTCTTTCCTGTCTGTCTTTCATCCTTGGACATGGGATTGTGGCTGTAAACTTATGTGGACTTACTCTGGAGTAGGGATGTGGGGGAGATTTGATTCAGATCTCATTTGAAGCTGTATCAGTCAAATTCACACTATCTGAAACAGTACTGACAGTCCTGTATAGGGAAGCTTTTAATGTATGATGTTTTACTGTGTTTGGTGTTTAAATTTGTTGGAAGCTGCCCAGAGTGGCTGCCCAGATAGGTAGAACAACAACAACAACAACAAGCAAAACACCGTTGTCCTTTGAAATTTTCACGTACAGTGGTACCTTGGGTTACAGATGCTTCAGGTTACAGGCTCCGCTATCTCAGAAATAGTACCTTGGGTTAAGAACTTTGCTTCAGGATGAGAGCAGAAATCGCGCAGCGGCGGCAGCAGGAGGCCCCATTAGCTAAAGTGGTACCTCAGGTTAAGAACAGTTTCAGGTTAAGAACGGACCTCCAGAACGAATTAAGTTCTTAACTTGAAATTATTCTGAAATTATATATCTGAAATTATTATGCAGTTCACCAACCGAGAAATGCTTACAAAAACGCATCTATTAGGGGAAAGTGTGAGTAAAAATGAATACATTGTGTTAGAGGAAATTTGCTTGCAGAATGTGTACATTAGTTAAAATAGCATATAAAAATGTGTTTATTGGGAGAAATTTGCAGTAGAATGCTGATGAATTTTCCTGACATGTTGCTGCAAAATGTGGAGGCCTGAGTTTAAGACTGGAAAAATGAGAACCCAGGAGAACTGAAATGGACAGATCCTTTCTGTCCTTACACTGGAGTAAACCCCACTGAAGTCTGTAGAATTGCTTCTCCCTAAAAGGCTGAACAGCGACAGCATCGTTTATTTCCAGGGGGACGTACCAGAAGACAGGGAATGCCCTTAAGAATCTGGGGCAGGTGGCATTCATGGCATGAAACATTTGGAGAATAGTAGGAAGAGCCAAAGCTCAGCGGTAGAGCTCATGTTTTGCCTGGGGTCTCCAGGCTAGGTCTAGGAATGCCGCCTTCCTGCAACACTGGAGAGGTTTTATTTTCACCCTTTTAGTTGATGAGCTGTTTCACAAGCGTTTTGTTTTGGTTAACATGCCCCAATCTTCATGGCATCAGGCTGATCAACTTGATTTTTGCATGATCTTTTGAGGAGCATGCATGACCTCTTTCGAAGCCGTAGCCTATTCAAAACCTAATCTCGTGGTGGTGGTGGGGAGTCCATCTGGAGTGGGTGACTTCCAACTTTTAAAAACACATGTCATTGTTGCTCAAGTTGCTTCCCAGTGCTGCTGCCATTGGTTGCCACTGGTTGATGTCACAGACAAGATGAGCACCAAAGGGCTGGGTCTTAGTGACAGGGGTCAGAGCAAGGATAGCTGCAAAGCAGGGGAGCAAAGCAGGCGGAAGACAGAGAAATGAGCCTGGGGGAAGGGTAAGTGGTGAAAGAGAAGAACTTGTGGCTGGACAGGGGAAAGAGCAATTTAGCTTGGTGAGGTAGGCAAAGAGGATGTGGGGGCCTGGGGAAAAGGCATTTAAAAGGATGAGCAAAGAAGGCAGAAATATTTGCCCTGTAGATTTCTCCCCCCCCCCTGCAAAAAACCCAGCAGGTTCTGGGTCTATTCTGGAAATGCTGCTGCCCTCCCTTCAGAAACCATGTTTTAGGTGAGGAGGATGATTTCTCCTCCTGCAGGAGTACAGTTTTTTCATCCATTTGCATATAAATCCATGTTCTTTGTAGTATGCTGATTTATTTTTCCTTTGGGGATATGTGTGTCACTAATCCTCCACACTGAGAGCTCGTTTTGGTTGCGAAGGCAGTTGCGGATTCTCCAAACATATAAGCAACATTGTCCAGGGATCTTCTCTGCATCTCCACTCTGCTAAATCCACCCAGAGAGTCCTGTGGGTGGCATCTGAGAGGCTTGTGGTTTAGGGTTCCTGAGCTTTCCATAGACAGGCGTTGGAAGCATAAGGGAGGCCTCTGGTACCCAACTACCCAAGAGCCATGATTTCTGTTGCCGTAAATTGGTTGTCTTTAGGATTCCGTAGGACATTTCCTTGGATTCCCAATGTGGTGCCCATGGGCATCATGGCATCCTTGAAACACCCCCCCACCAACTTGGCACATGAGTAGGCGCACTACATCTCCCAATTTTGTAAAAAGTGGGTTTCATTTGTTTTATTTTTGTGGGTGGCACTGGGCTGGCTGGAAAGTGCATATATACAGTCTTGTCCTGCCTCCTTACCTACTTTCTCCACAATGCCTCTGGGCCCCACATGCGCGTCTCCTTTGTTTTGTTGCATGGTGTGTATTTTGTCTGGTTTTGTTTTATTTTGCTTGGTTTGTAGGTATTTTCCCTTTAGGAGGGGTGTTTAGTTGAGGGGAGTGTTTGTTTTGTGGATGGGTTGCCTGCTTTATTGGGCTCTGTGTTACTTGCTTTGGAGGGTGTGTTGGGTTTTTTTTTTAACCTAGGCTGGTCCACACTTACCTTTTGCCTCTGTTTTCAGGCACAGGGCCACACTTTAAAGCTCTGTATCCAATTGCTCTTTGTTTTGCTCCAGAGCTTTCCTAACAAAAACTGTTCTTTAGTGCTCAATCAGACCAAACAGCAATTCAAGTTTTCCACATGTAGCTGTTTGCTCCGATTCAGCTTTGAAGAGCAAGTTTTTGCAGGAAAAGCTCAGGAGCAAAAAAGAAAAAGGGAGCTCAGACACAGAGCTTTAAGACTTGAACTGAGTCTGGAAAGAGCAGAGCAAAAGGTAAGTGTGAAAAAGCCCCTAGTTTTGTTGTGTGGATGTGTCTTAACATCACCACTTATTTGTCTGTGAAATGGGTATTTTGTGCTGCCCGTGCCAAATGTATCCCCAAGCCCCACAAAAGAGGTGAAGACCCCTGACTCTTTGGGCCTCCATTCATTGATATAACAGCCTTTTACTGGAATCCTTTTGTAAGTTGTATTTTGAATTAACATGTTCTACAATCTGTGGGAGAATTGGGGCGGGGAGAGAGACTCACGCAGCTAAAGCTTTGAAAACAACCCGTCCTTCTGTTTTTCAGAGAGAATTCTGGAACTGAGTCGTTGCTCTTCTTGTGTGTCCTTGATCTTACTGTGCCTAGAGACGCAGCTGTCAAATGAACAGGGGTTTATGAGGTAATTAACGGTGATGGGGTGGAGAGAAACAGATCCTTAGTTGTGACGCTATTGTCTTTCCATTTTGAAATAAGAATAGTTATAATAATACAGCCAAACTTCCCCCCTCCCTGGTGAAGCTGTCATGTGAAGATGGATCATGCATGGTTTGTTTATTTACCTGATCGGTTTCTTTTTATAGAAAACACACACACACACACACACACACACACACACACACACCATTTTTGTTCAGCTCTAGTTACCTTGGCTTGCCAACTTTTGTCCTTGCCTCTGCTCCTGTGCTGTTTGAAACAGCTTGACACACTTGCAGAAATTAAACAGGTGCAGCTTTTCCTCGTATAGCTTCCTCTCTCCATGCCAGGGAAAACTTTTGCCTGCTGAATTTGTGCGTGCAACAGGCAGAGGAGCAGGACGAACAAAGCAGTGCAAAAAAAGTTGACTACCTGAACGCCAGGCCAAACAGGAAGGTGTGAGAACAGTTCTGAATGGCTTTCCTTTCTGAAGGACCCTCCAGGGAAAGGGAGTTCCATGCTTATGGGACAACTGCTGGAAATCCTCCAAGAACTGGGAATCTGGTGGATGTGGGGTGTGTTCATGTGACCACCTTTGAGTACACTGAAGCTGTCCATCCCCCTGGTGCATTTCACAGCTCTCCCTTCCCCAACCTGTTCACATCAGCACAGCTTCATTAATGTCAGAATCATTCCTTTGGTGCTCACCTTAGCAGGTGAGGTCTTCGCGCCCCCCCCCCACAGGTGTTCCCACTTTGGCTGGAGACCAAATAGGAATGGCTTAAGGACTCCAACTGCTCTGAAGCTGGTTTGATAAACAATGCGTCAAATGGTGTTATGTTATTTTAGAACAAAGCACAGGATACATATGAATTTTGGGTTGGTTTCTGCGAGCACAGAACAGAAACCCAGCCCTGGGAGCACAGTGAATGCACAGCAAACAGGAATGTGGAAACAGCCTTGGTCCGCAATCTGATCCCTGGCACTGACCCACCCAAGTGCTTCAGGAAGGCCTTCACGGGAACTTTCTCAGTCCAAAAGCAGCTCAATATCCCCCTCCTTGAGTGGTGTGCGAAGCAGTTTGTGAGAGGCGGGCACCGCCTTTGCTACTGAAGGAAAGGCCCCTGGATGTGTTGAGACTCGCTGCCTCTGTTGCTCCACCAAGGAGAGAGAAGGAGAGGATGGGGTGGACTTTCTGGTTTCCTGACTCACAGCAAGTGACAGCAGCAGCCCGCTCTCTCTGGGGAGAGCATTCTGGGCACTTTCCAGTCGGAACGGGGTTCCAGCAAAGGCACAGCTCTGGAGGAGGAGGAGGAGGAGGAAGGAGAGAGCCATTTATTTGCAAGAAAACAGACTGGAGTTTCCTTGAGCCAGGAAGCCAGGTCTTCAGCTGGGAGAGCTGCCTGGGGAGATCGTGGCTGAGGGGGAATTTTGCCTGCCTTGGTCCAAGAGGCTACTGGAGAACTGGTTTGGCCCAGAAGTCATCATTGCTCCAGCCAGCCAGCCTAGGCCTCCATTGCCAAAGGGTGGATTCATTTGCTATTCCACAGAAGGATGCCCACAAATGCAGCCTGGCCTCCACACCCTCCCGGAAAGGTAACAGATGCCCCCTCCTCTTCCTCAGTCTTTGCTGGGTGTGCAAGTTTGACGTTTGTGTTTGGTGGCGCTGTCAGGGCAGGACTTATGGCAGAGGTCCAGGGCCCCACTCAGCAAGAGGGCCTGCCAAATGCAGCAGGGCCGGCCTGCCACACTTCAAGGTGCGCTGCCATCTAAACAAGAGCATGCTTTTAAATCCAGAGTCTGAAATGACCCCGGTGCACCACTGTCCATGTTGCCAAGTCACAGGGTTTGAGTTCTAGGTGGCTTTTGGTCTGGCATGGGAGGAAGACTGGACTTCATGGTAATGGTCTCTCTTTCCTGAGCCAGCTGTGGGATTTGTGGGAGGGGGCCGCAGCCAATGCACCCTCCTCAAGGGAGCCCCTTTCACCTACAAAGTGCAGGCAGGCATGTGATCTGAGGGTTCCTGAACCTTGCAATGCTGAGGGAGGAAGGCTGTCGATGGCCACATTGGCTCTGCTCTGCTTCCACAGTCGGAGGCAGTAATGCTTCCGAATGCCAGTTGTGGGTGGGAGAAAGTGCTCTTGTTCGCGTGTCCTCCTTGGGTGTTTCCCATTGGAGATCTGATTGGCCACTGTGAGGACAGGATGCTGGGCTAGATGGACCACTGACCTGATCCTGCAGGCACTTCTTATGCTTTTATGATAATGGAGGGTGGGAGGGCTGTCCTCTTCCCAGTCCTAGCAAACATCTGGTGTCCCTCTTCATTGTGGCACTTTTTGTCCACCTGGGGCCTTCCAGATGTTGTGGACTGCAGCTTCCATCAGCCTCAGTGGTCAGAGGTGATGACAAATGGTCATTTCCAGAAGATAATGCTGGGAGATGTTGTTCAGCCCCATGGTGCCTTCAGTGCGGAGTTCCTCAGCGTTAAAACTTATTGCCCATGCTGTTTAACTGCATCTACATGAAACCACTGAGTGGGGTCATCTGGAGTTTTGGAGTACATTGTCAGCAATATGCTGGTGACTCATAGTTCTACTTCTCCTTTTCTTCTGCAGCTGTGGCCATGGATGTGGTGGACCATTGTTTTGCCTTGGTCATGAACTGGATGAGAGTCAATAAACTGAAGCTCAATCCAGATACGACTGAAGCACTGTTAGTGGGTGGTTCCCTAGACCAGATGGATGGGAGACGGCCTGCTCTTGATGAGGTTACACTTCCTCTGAAGGAGCAGGTATGTAGCTTGGGGGTGGATGTGGATCCATTTCTGTCGCCTCAAGTGACCTTGAGGGCACGGAGTGCCTTCCATCAGCTTCGGCTGGTGGCCCAGCTATGCCCCATCTGTTGTCTATGCTCTGGTAACTTGTAGGTTACATTATGGCAATGTGTATTGCTGTGTACATTGGGCTGCCTCTGAAGATGGTTCGGAAACTTCAGCCAGTGCAGAATTTGGCGGCTCACTGGTTGCTCACTGGTGCAAAACTGTTTGAGCATATAATGCCATTCCTAGTCCAAATGCCAAATAGTTTCTGGGCCCAATTCAAAGTACTGGTCTTGACCTATAAAGCCTTAAATGGCTCAGCACCGTAATACCCCAAGGACCGCCTCTCCCCTTATGAACTGGACCCTGAGATCAGCATCCGAGGCCCTTCTTTGTGTGCCTCCTACACAAGAGGTCTGGAGGGTGGCAACACAAGAAGGGGCCTTTTCTGTGGTGGCTCCCTGTTGGTGGAATGCCCTCACCAGGGAGACTCGCCTGACGCTTTCACTACATATCTTTCAGCGCCTGTCGAAAGCATCCCTCTTCACCCAGACTTATGGCTAATTAAACCATCTGTGGCCTTTTAAATGTTTTTGAAGGGGCTGTTATTGTTTTTCTTTTTGGGGTGTTATTATTTTATGTATTTTGTGTTTTCATCCTGTAAATTGCCCTGTGATCTTTGGATGAAGGGCAGTGTGTAAATTTAATAAATGAGAAAAATAAGAAAAATCCATCTATATGGGTTCTTTCCCACGTTCATACCATACATTTATAGTACTATGATGCTGCTTTAAACAGTCATGGCTTCTCCCCACCCCCCACCCAAAGAATTCTGGGTACGGAGAGTTGTCAGGAGGCCCCCTATTCCTCTCCCTGAGGTACAATCCCCGGAGTTCCCTATGAAAGGGGATTGACTGCTAAACCACTCTGGAAAAATGTAGCTCTGTGAGGAGAACAGAGGCCTCCTAACAACTCTCAGCACTCTTCATGAACTACAGTTCACATCATCCTTTGAGAGGAGACCCTGACTGTTCAAAGTTGCATATAAGTGCTTTAAATGTATGATGTGAATGTGGCCCTAGTGTGTTGGTAGCCATTAGTACAGAGCCATAGGGTAAAATTTATTCCAGGTTGGCGTAGAATACAGACGTGACTTCATCTAGAAACCTCATTTCCCCCTTCTCCTACTTCTGCTTGGGCTCTGTAAACTCCCTACCCACGCTCCCACTGTGGGCATGCCACTTCTCAGAAGCGTCACACTATTTGCCCGTCTGTTCAGTAATTTTGTTATTACTAAGCAGACGGCCCCAAAATATGGTGAATCTGGCTCCCCTTTGCTTATGCTCCCAGTTATGTCAGTGCAGATATTCTAGATTTGCCCAATTTAGTTGTAGAGTTTGTCATAATGTTGTGCGTAAGCCCCCTGCCCCTGCTGGAAAAAAAGCTGTACAACTGTGGCTGTTTAGAACTGCCTTTTCTTTAGGGTTGTTTTCTGAGTACATTGGCAATTATGCTGTGTACTACTTTTCTGGTATCCGTTGAATGCTGCGTTTTTTACAGCTGCTGTTCATGAACTTTGAGCACAGAAAAAGTCGGAATCACAAGACAAGATAGTTTTGAGCTTGGCAGAAGCAGCTGGGAGAGTCAATGACCTCTCAAACTTTTCCCCTTCTGGATTTAACACTTAATTTAATGACCAAGGAAAATATAAAACAAGGGTTGTTTTATAACCACAAAGTCCAGGCATCAGAGTGTATGGGAACAAGTAGGAGGAGAGGGAAATAAGATGGAGAGAGACGAAAAACTAGGCTGCCAATTTTACTAACTGGTTCAGGGATGAGTAGGTCCCTTGCTCTTCAGCAAAGGAAATGTGCCAAATGTGGCATGTTTCCTCTCTTCCAAATAGGCCACAGTTATTCCCATTTTGTGAAAGTGTCAGAGAGGATCATTTGGCTAGGACTGTACAGGGCAGTCTTTGTCAACCTGGTGCCCTCTAGATGTTTTGGATTGCAAGCCCCCGTCCAAAACATCTGGAGGGCACCAGGTTGGCAAAGGCTGATAGGAGTCCTTGACAGATTTGCAGCACCAGCAAAAGGAACCTAAGTTTTTTCCAGGGCTAGGTATCTGCCTCAAGGTTTAAAGTTTGAAAGCTGAGAGAGAAAGGATGA